TCAGCATGGTGAACTTACCAGCATTAAAACATCTTGCAAGATGGATCTCTGTCTTGTTCAGCTGAGTCTCTCGACACCTGCAGGCGCTGGCACCTCGGCTACACCTCAACTTGTCTTCTGCTATGCTGAATTTCAGGGAACCTGGCTGTAACGGAATGCCAGTCTTTGAATTAAGCACTCAAGTTCTCTCCTGTGCCTAGGGAAAGGTGATTGCCTCGTGTCATCCTTCTGTGAACATGCCTCTCACCTGCAGAGTTCTTCAGAGAGATGTTCAGGAGCGCTTGCATTTGGGCGTTTATTTCCACCTTGTGTTGTTCCCTCAGTGGTGCTAGGGTGGCTCTTTATGCAGCCACACAAAAACAAACCAGCCAGTGAGGGAGGTATATTTCCTTAATCTCCCTACATTTGGAGTGCTACTTTGTACCTACTCTTTTTAAAGCCAATCAGTGTGCAATACTATGGTACAATTTTCTTTTATACAACATCTTTTGCATGTTCTATGACTAAATTACTCTATTGCATAAGCAATAGAGCTGGGGTCTTATGCATACAGAGTAATGAGCAAACACAGCACAGAGAGGGATTTAGTACGTGGGAGCTGATTAAACTGGCATGACTTAGCCATGGGAAATGTCTATATGAAGAAAGGGGATCCACAAAAAACAGCGGGCATTTTGTCCTCTTTTCTCTCAAGTGCTTTTTACCTAGTGAGGTTTTCAAGGATGCTGTTCTTGAATGCCTTCTGTAATCCAAGCTATGGTTTACCATCTTTTGGGTTTTTTTTTTAAAGTTTTTGTTTCTAACCTGTTTTTTAACAGTGGTGCCCACTGCCCTGCATGATTCATGCACACAAAGCCTTGCACATGTTGAAGGAGCTTGTCTCTCTCTCTGGATTTGTCATAATATTTTATAGCAAGTACAGAAGCTGGGGTATTTTACCTAAAAGATCCCATGCAAACAAAGACCCATGTTGGCTTTATGCTGTTGGTTGTATTACAAATGAACACTCATTTGCTGAAAAGGTTAAACATGAAAAAGCATTTACTCTAAACAAATAAATCTTGAAATATGTCACCATCGTTAAAAAAAAAATTACAGTGGTTGCTAACTGTAAAGGCATCAACCTTTTGTGTTGCCTGCAATTCGCTCAATCAGCTGTTCCCAAGATGTACCCAAGAGACCAGACAAATCAAGTAGAATATATTCACTCTGAGCTGACTCCTCTGGAACTGAAACATGATCTTCTTCTTTTTCTTCAAGGTTATTGTGTTTTGATCTTCTACTGCAGAGTCTCCAGTGCGGATCACTTTATTTCTAAAAAAGCAGTCTTCACGGAAAGCATGCTTTAGAAAGCTGCTGACCTGACCGCGGAGTCAGCACCTGAATTTCCTGGGAAGGGTAGGTGTTACTTACCTCTGAAAACAAGGATTGAAAACAGAATTTCTCTCTCTATCATTTTGAGAAGATGCTTAGGAAATAGTTCAATGTACAGCTGTATTAGCATCTTCTATTTTTGACTTGGAGAATCATTCCTTGAAAACTCAGTGGATGTGCTGGGTGCATCTCCACAACCTGCTCAGCACTGAGAGAGCTAACATAGCCAGGGCAACAGTATTTGCTTACTGCATTGTCGCAATCTGTTTCAGCAAAGTCAGAAAACATGAGTAAGAGGCTAGCAGATCTGCCTCCGCCACGGAAGGCTACCACTGGGTGAACAGCATTAGTGGAAGGAATTTTTGATGTGGGGAGTAGGGGTGAAATGTCTGTATTAGAAAGGAAGCAACACCTTGTAAAACTATAAAAGTATCTTAAAATAATACGGAATAGCATTTTTATTGAGGAAGTGAGATACTTTACTGTCACAGTAATGGTGCTATAATCCCCTTTTCTGCCCTAAGGTTAGCTTAAGTGCTTGACATACAAATGCTAGGGAGCAAATCAAGTTGGTTACTGATTCACACTTACTTAAACAGGCAAAGTGGGAGGTAAGGATTCTTATCCTCTCTGAGCGAAGTTAAGGTCTCTCTTCCTTGCTGCCTGGACTGACATTGCTCTGCTTCTAACTGCAACACTACAATCCTTTGGATATGAGAAGGATTCACAAAAATATAAATGGATGCCTCTTCCCCAGGAGAAGTCTTTCTTCCTGCACCACCAGCAGCTAAAAAGAATGGAAAGCTAACTCATCTGAAAAACTGAGATTGCACAGATCTCTGCAATGATGCTATGTTTTGAGGATAGCAGCATTCGCTGGATTGCACCCACACCATCCTTGCCCTTTGTGGTTGGTAGTGCTGAATCCATTTATCCCTTTTCCATCCTACCTCTTCAGAGTCATGGCTCGTGGGGCATTTCTGTGTCCAGGCAGACATTTCTGCCAATACCTCCACGTTTCTGCGGCGAACGTGTCAGCCTTCATCTAGATCTGTGCTCCTCCCTCTATCACACATGGATGTATCTGGATAAAGTCTCTCTTAGTCAAGTCGTTGACTCCTTAATCTCCCTACATTTGAATGTTTTGTTATGGAGTGCTACTTTGTACCTACTCTTTTTAAAGCCAATCAGTGTGCAATACTATGGTACAATTTTCTTTTATACGACATCTTTTGCATGTTCTATGACTAAATCCCTGACTATATTACAGGCATGTAAGAAAATAAAACCTCACTACAACAGGCTGATAATGTGAACAACTGTGTAAAAGTTAATAGCAGAGGGAGAGGAGAAGAAGATTACTTGAAGGCCTGTCAGTGTTTATTAGGCTGACTCTTGAAATAGGTTGGAGAACTGAGGAGGTGCAGATCACTACAGAAAACCTGCTTCCAGCAGCAAGTGCTGCAGGTGAAGTCTGCGTTGGTGACATAAAATTATGTAGAGGAACAGAAAGCAAAGCAGTGCTTGTGTCCAGGGGTAAGGTCCCTGAAGCAGATGGGAACAAAACTGTAGTGAGATCTGAAAACAGCACCCATTCTGAAAACCTCACACTGACCAATTCCTTAGGTTTCACAAAACTGTTTTCATTTATTTGGGAGTTATTCCAGGTAAAAGGGGATGCATTTAATAAACCAGCATCTTCAAGTGAGTTCCCAGAACATACACTTACTTGGCAAAGGGAAGTACTGGGCTTAAAAAATCAGTGTGATCTGGTAATCTCTTAAGACCTTGACAGCTGCCTGAATGCAGCATTGCCACTGTCTGGGGAAATAATGGGAGAAACGTGGGGAGGCTTAGAGGAAATTACATCTTACAAAAAGGGGGCAGTATACAGGGAAAGGTGTATTTTTAATTTAGATCCTATTGCACCAAACAGAAAGTGTTTTCCGTCTCATTTTCAAAGTTCAAGTGACAAGTAGCCTTGGAAGAAACAACCTGTATTCTCCAGCTCTGCTGTGCACTTGCTCAACAACCATGAAGTCATGTCCTAGGCCAGAGGCAAAGAGCATCAGCCGTAGGATGGTGCAACACCCAACTTGGAAAACTCTGACTCCAGCCAGCATCTAAGGACCATTGTGTAGGACCAAGGAAGTGCTCTAGCACAACCCTGTTGCAAATAGCGGCTGCAGAGTTCTTGAATGAATGAGGGGAGGAAGATGACACTACATCTGTATATACCATTAGTTAGACAGCTATTATGATATAATGCTGCTTGTAAAAGGATGTTGGACAGCCTGGAAGATTCAGCAAACAGCGACAAAAATGATTCATGGTATGGAAAAACCTGACTTGCAGAGAGCAGTAACAGAAGTTCATTCCATTAAGTTTGCCAAATATAAGGTTAAACGTGACTTAGGTTTTGGCTATAATTACCAGTACAAGGACAGCTTATCTAGTATTTCAGCACTTTCTAATGTA